AACAAAAAAATTACTAAGGAGATGAGTCCCAAGATACATAGAGACATAGAAAAAAACTGATTGTCCCTGATCAGTTTGAGTTACTTTGTCTAGAAGAACTGCATCGCATCATACCAAATGAACTGGGGAATGGGATTATTGATCCACTGTCAGTATTCTCTTAAAGATTAAGAAAAATAGAAGTGCTCCAGGACAGGATAAGGACACATGTTATCTCTTTTTTTTTTTTTAAGAGAGTGCCAGTGCTCTGTACCCAAAAGTCACTTGGGATGGAGATCTAGGCGGACAGTGAATTGCCTAGCATGGGAGGAAACTGAGACACTTTGAGATCCAGCCCCCAAAGAAACACATAATTAGAGGGGAAGGAGTCAGAAAGTGAACAATAGGGGAAAATAAGGGGAAAACAGACTGAAATTACTAAATATTTTAGGATGAAGAAAACTCAAAGACTTTGAACATACACAGATAAATCAAGAGGAAAACTAACAAGAGAGGGAAATATCGCTTCCAGATCTAGTAAACAAGTTTAGGCATCTGTGAATAAATACTGCAAAACTAAGGAAAATCATCTATCAGATGATGAGAGGAGTATCCTGTGGAATGTGAATGCAATATGGAACTACAACACCCTGTTCTTAAGAAACTCAAAAGAGAAATGAGAATTATGAGGGCAAAATTTATGGCCTACACGGCAAAAATAATGAACAAATAGAAAAATTGATATCTTCAAAGACAAGCCTCACCAAAGAAACAAAAGAGAGAACAATAAATTGGGAATCAAATACATAGAAGTGAAGGACAATCTAGAAGCTGACAAGTATCTAAGGCCAGATTTGAACTTAGGAAGATGAGTCTTCCTGATTCTAGGCCAGACCAACTAGCTGCCAGGAAGTAAGGAAAACCTGAGTTCAAATTTGACCTCAGATTCTTACTGGCTGTGTGATTCTGGGTAAGTTATTTAACCTCTGTTTGCCTTTGGTTTCCTCATCTGTAAAATAGGAATAATAATAGCAACTATTTCTATGAGTTTTTGTGAAGATCAAATGAGATAATATTTGTAAGCACTTAGCACATGTGCCTTGCACATACATAATATGTACTAAATAAATGTTAGCTGCTATTACTAGTATTATTATTATTATTGGTGGTAGTAGTAGTAGTAGTAGTAGTAGTAGTAGTAGTAGTAGTAGTAGTAGTGCAAGGTAATGACAGAAGGTGCCTGTAGGTGAACCTAGAATGAATACCTTGGAAACTTTGTATGAGGAAATCAGAAGAAAGAGAGAAACCAGATAATTATAGAGGTCATGGATCAGAGAATGAGAGGGTATAGAGTAGCTAGAAAGAGAGGAATAATAACACAGAGAATGAGAGAAATCCTTTCTGGAAAGGGGCACAAAAAATTAAACTAAAAAAAAAAATAATGAATTGACTAGTTAAAGGGGAGGAGGGGAAAGGAGTACCTACTTGACTAATTTAGAGGAAAAAAGGGGCGGGGAGGGGAGGAAGAATAACCTGTAAAAAGCAAGAAAGAAAAAGGAACAAATAAAACCCCTAAGCGAAATGGGTAACAAACAAATGAAGGGGGATCAAGATGAGTGAAAGAGGAGAGCCAGTGGCAATGGAGCCACCTTAAAAAAAGACTAAAGTAAATTAATTGAAAGAACATTATTCTGTGCTTACAGCAGAAGGGGGGGGGAACCATAACTAGGAAAATTATATTAGAAACAGATGGCGGAAAACATAAACCTAATTATTAACTTTAAATGTGAATGAATTAAACAAGCCAATAAAACAAATAGAGTGACAGATTTTAAGAAAACAAAGTCTTCCAATCTGTTGCTTAAAAACACAGTTCAAAAAAATACATAAAATAAAACTTAGGAGATGAAAAATATTTACTGAACATCAATTGAATCTAAAAAGCAGAAGTTACAATCATGCTATTTGACAAAACAAAACCAAACATTCAAAAAATAAAAAGGGATAAACTAGGAAACTGTTATGCTGAAATGAACCAGACATCAAACCAATATCAATAGTAAACTTATATGCTCCAAATGTTGTAGCATCTAAGTCATAAAGGATACATCATCTGAACTACTAGAAGACAGACAGCACAACAGTGACAGGAGATTCAAGTATCCCTCTCAGTTTTGGATAAATATAACAGAAAGATAAAAAGAAAATATGGAATTGAACAAATGGCTAGAGAAAGCAGAGTTGAAAGACTGATGATGTCTTCTAAAAGGGGTAGTACGAGAACATACATATTTCTCAGTTCCATTTGAAACTTACAAAAATTGACCATGTACTCAAGCACAGAGATATTACAAATAAATGTAAAAAGGATGAAAAAGTTAATACATCCTTTACAGACCATAATGCAATAAAAAATAGAGATTATTTCAGGGACTACAAACAAAAGATACGGACACAAATGGAAACTTAATAATGACTTAGTCAAGGAACAAATTATAAAAACATTTAATAAGTATGTAAAAGAAAATGATAATGGTGAAACAACAGACTAAAATTTCTTTGATGAAACTAAAATAGTCCTTGGAGAGAAAATCATATCCTCATAAAATAGAAAAAGAAATAATTAATGAACTTAATATACCTATTTTAAAATTAGCAAATAAACCTAAAAATAAGCACAAAAGGGGAGATATTCAAAATTAGAGAGGTAACATAAAAAGGAAGAGAGCAGAAAATCAAATCAGTAAAAATAAGAAATGTGCAAGGTAAAATCATAGCAAAACCAGAAGAAATTTTTAAAAATCGAACATATTATACACATTTACATTTATATGCTAACAAAACTAACAACCCACAAAAAATATTGGAATATCATTAAATATATAAAATACTCAAACTATCAGGAAGCCCAAAAGATATGTTAAATAATCTAATCTTGGAAACAGAAATAGATCTAGATGTAAAAGAAAAAAAAAAAAACTCTTGGTCCTGATGAGAATTCTATCAAAGTTTTTATAGAACTGTTAATACCCTTACATCACAAATTCTTCCTAAAAATTGAGAAAGTACCCTACCAGAATCCTTTTATGAGACAAATATAGTCCTAGTACCCAAACCAGGGAAAGATAAAGCACAAAAGGAAAAGTATAGGCCAATATCATTAATGAACACTGTATCAAAAATTTTAAACCAAATCCTGTCAGGCAGACTATAGCAATTTATCCAAGAAATCATTCATTATGAACAAGTGCAGTTTATACCAAGGATGTTTCAACATTAGGAAAACAATCAGCATAATTAATTATACATTAAGAAAGGCATAGTATCCAGGACTAGAGAGATAAGAGTCACCTTGTGCTTTGTCCTGATTAGAAAACAATATCTGGAGTGCTATGTTCTTAGTGGTACTTAGTGGAAGTGCTAGAACTGTACTGAAGAGCATCATAGGAGGGCAAAATGTATGAAAGAAGTGTTGGTTCCAGGTGATGCTCAGTCAAAAGATTTGAGAAGACTGAGCCTGAAAAAGAAGAGTTGGACTGGCAGGGGGGGAGGAGGGAACATTGGGGGAACATAGATGGTAGGTACCAGTTTTCAAGCATTGGATATGTCATGTGGGAGAGGAGTGTCTTGTGTGTTCCCTCTCCCCCATGGCAATGCCTTTCCTTTCCCTAAAAAAAATTATTTTTTGTTTATATTTTCATTATTTTGTATATGTCATTTATTATTTACGTGTTGTTTCTCCCTGAGGCCAAGAAGATTAATAAATACTTGATTCATTGATAGAGAGAATGAATGAATGAAATATTTCCTAGGAATCTTAACCCTAAAGGCTAGGTTGTATAGGCTAGGTTTTTTCCTTCAAAACTTGATATCTCTATTTCAGCATTAAAAGTAAGGCTGCTGAGGTGAGAAAAGAAGAATATTTGGGGTTGAAGGGGAAAGCAAATTAATGTGAAATCTGAATAGTGCCCCGGATCTTCTAGAATCTTCATCAGAGGTCATTCAGACTAAATTTTTGTTAGGAGTGGGGGCTTGGGTATGAAGAGAATATTTGTACTGCAATATCAGAGGGGAAACTATATTACTTATAATTTCTGAAGTTTCTAGCTTCATTTGTTTTGCTACTTGAAATAAATTTATTCTCAGTACTTCAGGCAACAGTTTAATGTAGTGTAGTCAGAACTTGAATTTAAATCCCGGCTCTGCTGCTTAATTGCTTCTGCAACTTCAGGAAATGGCTATGTGATATAGGTCACTGAGAGTAGAGTCACAATACCTGAATGACTTTGGGCAAGTCACTTAACTACCCTGTGCCTCAGTTTTATTGTCTCCAAAATAAGGGCGTTGAACTACATGATTTCTAAATTCACTTCTGTCCCTACTTCTGTGATCTACCTTAAAAGGAAGTGGGTTCCTTTCACTGGGGAGAGCATTTGAATGGCATTTTTTTTCCCATTGGAATGTCATTTTAGTTCTGATCAGGTATGGATAATAAATAAGAATTAGTTCTTGAAGGAAAGGTTGGATGTTGTCAGGTGTGCTGTAAAGCAAACTGTTGGCCTCTGAGATCCTTTCTAACTCAGATTCTTTGACACTGAGTAATTTATAATATCTATATTCAGATCTGCTATAGCCATCCGTGTGATTAAACTAATTTGCTTCTATTACAGCGTATTATTAGAAGTCTGCAGCTAAAATATATAACCTAAAACACAGTTTAATTTCATTGGAATATATGATTTAATTTAACAAATATTCAAACTATATAATAAATTTAGAGTTGTTTACCTACAAGCTTTTCTTTCTTTTATGCCATTATGCCTAGCTTTGACCTAAAAGCACAGCTTTCTACTTAATATGTTTTAGATAAATTTCCGAGCAATTCATTGCATAGTGGTGATTGGTTGATTACATGATCTTAGAGTTAATGGCAACACTGCCTTCTATACTATTGTACACAAGTGTCTCAGTTCTTATTGGTGTCACTATCAGTATGGGAACAATTTTTTTTTCTTTTTAAGGTGTCGCAACATAATGAAAATTGCTCAAGCTAAACTTGAAATGATAAAGCCAGAAGAAGTAAACATGGAAGAATATGAGGTAATTTATGTCTCTGGGGAGAGAAGTTGAATGCTAGAACAGTTAGTTGCATATTAAACTGTTTCAAACATTTCTTAACCAAATTACTTTGGTCTTAAGGTGACCAAAAAAAAATAGAATATTTTGTAAAGTGACTGTAAGCTGCCTTTCCATATTAGGAATGTCACCTTAGTTCAGATCAAATATGAATGATAAATTTAAAATTAGCCTTCTAAATTTGTTCCTTATGTATTTTCCTTGTTACTAATTTACTTCATTTTTGGAGTGTATGGGGCAATGGGGGTAGGGACCCCTTGTAGACTTTCTCCATTGATGCTGATTAGCAACATATCTAACTTCTAGTTGCCTAGAGAACTAAGAAGTTCTAAACAACTACTATGGGGCAGAGACAAGATTTTAATCCAGGTCTTCCTGACTCGAGGGCCAGCCCCCTATCCATTTGGCTGTGCTGCTTCTCTTTTTTATCAGTATATCAGTCGGTCAACTAATATTTTTTTAAGCACCTATTATTTGCCAGGTGCTGTGCTAGCTGCTGTGGATACAAGTACAAAGAATGAAGCCCTGCTGAAAAGGAGTTTACGTTTTAATGGGGAAGAAAAGTACATTAAAGCATACACAGTTAAATATAAAGTAATTAAGATATAGGTCATCAGTAGTTGGGAGAACCAAGAAAGGCTTTTTTCAGAATATGGTACTTGAGCTTCATGTTTTAAATAAATAAATGTACACATATACATATACATACATATATGTATATATTTTTTCCATTTTTTTTTAATTCAACATTTTTTTTTTAATTTTGAGTTCCAAATTCTTTCCATCCCTTGAGCTTCATCTTAAAGGAAGAGAGAGACTCTGTGAATGAGAGGTAAAGACAGACTACATTCCAAGCCTGTAGAACAGCCAGATCACAGAGTATTGCGGAAGGGGGGAGGGGGAGGGGAATGGAGGATAACATCAATTGAGGTTGAAAGAATACACTGGGGCTAGGTTGTATAAGGCTTCAAAAGGCAAACAGAGGATTTCATATTTTCCTAGAGATAAGAGGAAGCCACTAAAGTTGATTGAAGAGAGGCATCATATAGTCCATAGGTGATGAAGGCCTGAACTAAGGTGGTAATAGTGTGATTAGAGAAAAGGGATCAGATACAGTTGGTATTATGAAGGTAGAAACGACAAGATTTTGTTCTGATATGTGAGGTGGAACAGAGTAAGGAGTTCAGGGTGTCTTGGAGGTTAAAAACCTGGGTTACTAGAAGGGTGGTGGTGCCTTTGATTGAATAAGGGGAGTGTGGAAGTAAGTAAGGTTTAGGGCAAAAAATAATGCATTCAGTTTTGTATGTTTTCAATTTAAGATACTTCCAGAATATTCTGTTTTAAATGTCCATTAGGCAATTAGTGATATGGATCTGAAACTCAAGGGAGAGACTGGGATTGGATGTATAAATCTGGGAGTCATTTTCATAGAGATAATAATGAAACTCATGAGACCTAATGGTTATGAAGAGGCCCTATGACAGAACCTTGGGTAACACCTACAGTTAAGAAAAGTGATCTAGATGATAAACATGATAAGCCATCAAAGGAAACTGAGAAGGAGCAAGTTGAAGGACAACTAGGAAAGAATTGTCACAAAAACCCAAAGAAGAGACAGTGTCCAGGAGTTCAGCATGTAATTTACTACTTTGATATATTTAATGTTTGCTTAAAATATTAATGTTCAGAAAAACTCAAGTGGGTATCTTTTTTATTTCTGCTAAGTTAAGAATACTTTTTCCCCCCAATTGGAAATATTCTGCATTTTCCAAACTGTTAAATCATTATATAGTCCATTGTCACATTGTTGTGAACATAGGAGGCTTCAAGAATATTAATTCAAATTTTCTAAATTGTTCATATATGTTGAACCTTAACTACAACAAAATCATCTTTTTTTTTAGAAATTATAGTCTCTTTATATGTCACATGCCATATATATTGAATAAAATTTGAACTGTAATTTTAGAAAAGCTTGGACAAATCCAAACTTTACTTTTCATTAAAGATTATTTTTATGCATAAAAATTGTGCTTAAAAGTTAATTATTCCCCAAAGAGAATTCTATTGACTGTTACGTGTGTTCTTAATTTCTCTTTACATGAAATAATATTTAAATAAAAGCTTTAATTTTTTGTCTTTCCAGTTTGTCTTTTGACTGATCTGTAGCAAAACACAGTCCTATTTTTGTTTAATTTCTCTTGAGGTAGAAGAATAGGATTGTACCAGAGTTACATGAACTTAACATATGATTCAATCACTTTACAAGAAATTTCTTTATGAGAAATTTTGTGCAGTCACACCAAACTTTCATAGTTTAGCTGTGGGTTCACATTGTGTGTTCTCTTACCACTCCCCTTTTCACCTCTTTTCATAGATTCTTCAGGGGCCTGGTTTTAAATTGAATTTGCCCCAAAATTAAACATCAACACATGGTTTGACTAACAGCATAGTGTAGTAAATAGAGTATTGGACGGGGAGTCAGAAAGACTTGGATTCAAATCCTGTCTTGCTAATTGTGCCGTCAAGGGAAAGACATGTAACTTGTCCCAGCTTCCATCTTTTCTACCTGTAAGGTGGGGAGAATAATACCTCCAGTACCTAATTTATAGGGTTGTTCTAAGGATCAAATGAAATAATATATATAAAGACCTTTTCAAACTTTAAAGTGTTATGTAAACAGCAGTTACTGTTATTAGATTACTATGAGAAAAACATTTTAAGGATGGGAAATTTCTAGATTAATACGTTTTTATATTGCTCTAACCTTTCGAGTAACTTTTTAAGTAACTATTCAAGTAACAATTTCAATTCAAAAAAACATTTAAAACACTATGAACATAGAATATTTGAGGAAAATATGAAGAATAAGAAGAAATCATATTCTTGATTTAATTCAAGAAATTCTTAATTTAAATTTAATTCAAGAAATTCAATTCTTGATTTAAAGATTTAATATCATGTATTGAGAATATTATTCACAAATAGCTATAGTAAAGTATAATACATAACTGCATTAGAAAGGTGTGTTATATGTAAAATGTGAGAACACTAGAGAGAGGTGGCACAGGAATTTTGTTATAACAATGTATAAGAATTCAGCAGATAAAAGCTAAAGGGAGGAGGCAGCTAGGTGGCGCAGTGGATAGAGCACCAGCCCTGAAGTCAGGAGGACCTGAGTTCAAATCCGGCCTCAGACCAAACACTTAACACTTACTAGCTGTGTGACCCTGGGCAAGTCACTTAACCCCAATTGCCTAAAAATAAAAAAATTAAATAAATAAATAAAAGCTAAAGGGAGAACATGTCAAGGATAGAGTGAACAAAATTATGGAGTCAGGAGAGTGCAAGGTGTGTACATGGGTAAGGGAGTAGTTTATCATACGGCAACAAAGGTAGAGGGACACCAGATTGTGGAAGGTCTCAAGTTGCTAGGAACAGGATTTTCAGTTTTATTCAGTAGATAATAATAAGCCACTCAGGATTTTAAACTTGAGGAGTTGCATGAGGAAGATGAGTCTAGCAGTTCAGTAAATTCTTCCACTAAATATAATGGAAGAAGAAAGATATATCAGCAGACTTGTGATGATTGAGGCTTAGACAGTAAGAACATTTTTATTAGAGTAGTGTAGCAGGGATAAAGAGGGAAAAGATTTGAGAAAGATACAAGGAATATTATTTTTACACATATTTCTATTTCTATAGATAGATATCATATAAGGTGAATGTAAGATGAATCTTACCTAACTTCTGTGAAGTCTTTGATGCTGTTGATCACTTCTCTTTAATACACGCTACTCTCTAGGTTTTCATGACTGTTCTTTCATGGATCTCTTGCTAATTGTCTGACTACTACTCTATTTCCTTTGTTATATCTTCATCCATCTCTTGCTCACTAACAGGGCAAGCTTTCACGTCTTTGTTCTGGGCCTTCTTTTCTACTCCCTCTGTACTATTTTACGTGGTTGTCTTACTAGCTTTCACAGTTTCAATTATAATTTCTATGAAGATGACTCTCAGATCTGCTTGTCTAGCCCTAACCTCTCTTCCTATCTCCAGTCACCTTTTAGGCATTCTGCACTGGATGTTATATAGACATCTTAAATTCAACATGTCTGGAACTGAACTCATTTTATTTCCCCCAAAACCCTCCCTTCTTCCTGACTTCCCTATTACTGTCAAGGGTACTATCTTTCTCCCAACTTCCCAGACTCACAGCTTAGATCTTTTCCTTCCCCTCACACTTAGACCATGTAATAGCCTGCTGGCTGGTCTTCCTGCCCCAAGTCTGTCTTGGCTCCACCCTTCTGCCTCTCAACTGTTAAATTGGTCTTCCCGAAGTGCAGATCTCCTGTACCCCTCCTCATTTTGCTGGCTTTCTTTTAAGTCTCACTTAGTTCCACCTTCTGCAACAAGCTTTTCCCATTCCTCCTTAATATTACTGATTTCCCTCTGATAACTACCCCCAGTTTATCCTATGTGTATTTTGTTTACGTATATTTGTTCACAGTTTGTCTCCCTCATTGTCTCTTCTAGAGATTAGGAACTGGTTTTTGCCTTTCTTTGTATGCCCAATGCTTAACACAATTCCTGGCACATAGAAGGTGCTTAATAAATACTAGTTAACTGAATAGAATGCACAGAACTTCAAAACCAATTAATTGTGAAAGATTATAGAGAAAGGGAAGGTCAACATAATAGTAATGTTTTGAAACTTCAAGATTATAAGTGATGATGCCACTGCAGAAATAATGTAGTTGCAAGGAGAAGAAGCTTTGGGGAAAAAAGGTGTTTGCTTTTAGGTATCTTTCATTTGAGAAGACAGAGGGTCATATGTAACACTGCCCTAAGGAATCAAGTAATTATTGTTAAGTTCTAACGTCATGAACAAGAAGCTAAAGCCCTTAGAAGCACAGGTAATGTTTTTATATTACGACTGCCAATTGAAGGCAATTTTTTCCAAAGAGAAAAAGCACATTTACAAATTGAACAGTTGGTTAAGAAAATGGTGTCAGAAACTTAGATTCCAATTTTTGAATAACACCTTAAAATATTAGAATGTTCTGTCCTCACCAGGAATGTACATAACAATGTGTTTATCTGGAGGTTTGCAAGTCTAATCATAAGGAAGGAAGAAAGAGATAATCACCGATGTAACATTATAGAGAGTAATGAAAGAAGAAAACTGGAAATGTTCTGAAATTCTCAAGAGGGTTAGTTAAGCATAAAGAAGGTGCTAAGATCATAGTTTTAAACCATCTTTAAATATTGTACAATTTAGACATCTTTAAAAATAGGAGATCCTTGTCAAGTAATGGAAGACTGCTATTCAAGAAACTTAGTCATAACAAACTTGACATTCTCCCAGCTACCACCAAAAGGCAGATTAGGCATAAGACCCCTAGGAGTAGCAGCGCCCCTCTGATCACTGGGTATGCTTCCAGCCCAGCTCTCACAGCAGTCCTCACCAGCCTGGGGTTAAATAGCTCAACATCAGATCCTGGTATCTCTTTATCAGTGGAAATGACATTAAAAGAGAGATATTACCTTATACTTTGCTGTTGTGCCTTAAGGACCATAGAGCCTTTCCATCTGACTTGCAGCTGAAACCTTCCATAGATGTAGTCTCCCCAATTCAAACGTAAGCTCCTTTATAGGAGGCACTGTCTTACTTTTAGATTTGTATCCCCAGCCCAGCAAGGCACAGTGCCTTGCTCATTTTGCACATAGTAAGCATTCAATAAATGTATAATTCATTCATTCATTCATTGACTAGACCATTTAGCAAAAGCAAAAGATAACCACTGGGCCTCAGTTGCTCCACTGCTATTCTCATATAAAAAGAATGCTCCAGCATATTTGATGAATCCATTGTGGCAACCTGTGGGGAGGACATGAACAAGAGATGCATAGGATGGGTAGGCATAGGGGTGATGTGATCTGCATCACAACATCTCTATCAGTGAGATCATCAATCTAGATGAGTGCAGGAGTGAAATAAGAATCTCCCTCCAATCGAGAGTGTTAGAGTTGATGTGGTAACTTCAAAGAGAAGCTTGGAAATCTATAGACATAATGGAAAAAATGCTGGATTTGAAGTCAGAGGACCTGGGTTGGAATGCTAGCTCTGCCATTTGCTGCCTATGTGAACTTGAATAAGTCACTGAAGCCACTCTAGTCTGCTGTTTCTCCCCATCTCTAGAATGTGGGGAACTGAATGATCTTTCAGGTTCCTTATGGTCTCAGCTCTAAATATATAGACAGTGAGAGTATGTAGTATGTCTAAACTGAGATCTGATGACTATGGCCTTTGTTTTCGATTCTTATATTTACATACATTAAAAATTGTACAATTTAGACATAAAAATTGTATCAGTGTTTCAGAGTATGATTTTATATTTTATCATAGAAGAAAATTAAAATTAGCATCTAACTTTCCATTTCTGTCATATTTTTCTTCTATAGTTCTTTATCAGCATTTAATAAATTTTATCACAGAAGCTGTTACAGAGAAATTATTTGTTTTTAAAGTCTTATTTCTTTCTTTACTAAACTGTTTAGAAAGGTCAGTTAGTCATATTTATTTAGGAAAATATCTATTATCAGAAAAAAATTCTGTGTATAGTTTTTTTTAATGATTTCTTTTATTAGCTATCTTAAATACAAATTTTTCTTTTCCTACAGAAGTGGCACCAGGATTATAGAAACTTCAGAGATACAACAATGTATCTCATGATAGGCCTAGAACATTTTCAAAAAAAGAGGTAAGAAAAGTTAAGAAGTTTGATATTATGGGAAGCATAACAGACATACTATAGACATACATATATATGTATGCTTGATTTTTACTTAGCTTTATATTTATATTTCATTTCTGTGAAAAGGTATATATTTTAAAACTTAGTTTTGTATTTTCATTGCATCTGCCAGTTTTACTCTTTTAGTATTTTCTTTAGATAACTTCACTATATTCTTATCTACTCCTGCCCTTGAAAAATAAAAAAGGTACAGGTTTTGAGTAAGCAGAGTTTTAGGGAAATAGGAGGAAGTAATTTCAACAGAACCAGGATATATGCTGCATGTCGTAGTATGTGGTTTCCTTCTAAATGAACTTTTTCTGTAGCCAGTCTGAATTTATATTTGTCCCGGAGACTAATTATCTTAGCTCTTCAGATATTATAAAAGATATAGTGATAGGAATTTTGCTATACCATTACTAACCTAGTAAGAAATACAGCTAAAAACTAACTTAAGGTTGTTTTTAAGTGAATTATAGAAAATGGAAATTGACTCACACTAATAAATATTTTAGCAAGATCATATTGCTATAAACAATGAAATTAATTAAACTCATATTTGTGGACATTTTAAGAACTGTTTCTATATCCCTTTTCTTACCACCATGTTTGGAAATCAGGTAAAAGGGAGTGTCACAATGCAGTGAATGTCACTTTATATTTCTGTATTTTGTAGATGGTCATGGCCAAAACATTCATTACCAGGTAGTTAACTTTCTAGTCATGAATTTATTCAGACTTAGCTATGCTGGTCCTCAGACCCAAAACTGTCATCAAAACTAGTTTTTCAAGGTTGGTAGATTACACCAGAGTTTATATTTCCTGACACAAAGTGCAAGCCCTGGGTCGGCTTGATGCAATAGCGAATCATTCCAGCAGAATCTTTGTGATTGTACAGTTCTTAATTATACTGTATGATAAGTACATACAAAATTTGTATTTGCATATGGTGTTCATATGCTCTTCTTATTTCTTTATAGAATATTTTTGTCTTTTTTGCAGTTGGAGCTAGCCACTGAAATCTCTTCCTCCTCTTGAGATTCCTTAAGAAACTTTTCTGTATTTTTATTATACCTACCAAAACATCATTGCTTTTTTTAGACTTATGGATTATGTCCTCTAGAGGGCAGTGTTGCCATTTTTATTTTAGTTTCCTAATTTTAAAGATAATTAACTTTATTGCATACTCCCAAAAGAACAAAAGCAAAGAAGTCCAAAGTTTCAGAGTCGGAGGAGATGTCAGACATCTGTTCTGTCCTCTAACTGAACAAGAATCCACTCTACAAGTTATGTTTAATATGTATCATAACTCAAATTCAAAATAAAAATTATGGGGCAGAATTCGTTTTGATCAGCCTAAATGAAAATTTGTTTTCATCAATAGAGTAGTTTTACATCCACCATAGCCCTACTTTGATACCCCATTCTGTTTTGAAAGTGACTTTGGATTCTCTCTCTCTCTCTTTTTTTTTTTTTTTTTTTTTTTTGCTTTTTGGTGAGGCAATCAGGGTTAAGTGACTTTTGTTCAGGGTCACACAGCTAGTAGGTGTCATGTCAAATATCTGAGGCTGGATTTGAAACTCGGGTCCTCCTGACTCCAAGGCTGGAGCTCTATCCGCTGCGCCACCTAGCTGCCTCACCTAGCTGCACAATGACCTTGGATTCTCAAAGGCTATACCAACAGTGTAAGCTATAGTAGATCCTACCCAGCTGGAAAAATTTCAAGTATAGCCCCAGTGATAGACAGTGTCTCATCTCTGGAACAAACCACACTCATCCCCAGATTTGCAATTGTCAGAATATTCATCACCTTTTCATTACTTCTGAGAATCTTTAAGTCATAGAAGGATCTACAGTATGTGTCAATGTAAAGAATTACCCATATTAATCAAATCACAATTCACTGAAATACGGTAAAAGTTGTTCATCTTGTTAGCATTAATTCAGTAAACTCAAATGTGTCCATTTTCTTTCTCTCAAATCCTACCCCTTTTCTTAAACTTCATTGGAGACACTACTATTTTATTCACTCTCTTGTCAGCTCCCTGGCTCTCACACCCACATGTCCAATCTCTTGCAAATCTTGTCTTTTCCACTTTTACAGCTTGTCTCACATACATACCCTTCTCTTCTCCCACTTATGCACCACCTCAGTCCATAACTCTGTCACCTTTCATGTGGATTGCTACGATAGCCTCCTCATTGATCTCCTTTCTGAAGTCTCTCCCCACTCCAATCCATCTTCCAAACAGCTGCCCAAGTGATTTTCCTAAAGAGAAGGTCTGTAATGTCACTGCCCTATTCAGTGAACTCCAATTGTTTCCTGTTGTCTCCAGGATCACATATACACTCTTTTGTTTGGCATTTAAAACTCTTTATAGCCTGGTCTTATCCTCCCTTTCCAGCCATTCTACACATTATACGCTTGTTGATGCAGCCTGATGGGACTTTTGCTCTTCCTTCTCCTGTCTCCATGTCTTTTCACTTGCTGTCACCAACTTCCCTGCCCACTTCTACCTTTTGCAATCCCTGGCTTCCTTTAAGATCTAGTTCACTCACCATCTTCTAAATGACACCTTCCTCTCAAAATTTACCTTCATCTGTTTTGTATGTATTTTGTACATAGCTACATATATGCATCTATTCTCCCTCATTAGAATGTAAGCTCCTTGAGTTTGGCAACTATTTTGTCATTGTCTTTGGGTTCTCAGTGCATAATACAGTGCCTGATACATACTAAGTATTTAGCAAATGCTTCTTGATTGATTGTAATCAATATATCTGAAATAACCATGAACAACCAAATGCTTTCTTCTGTCATCATCTTCTGACTTCTTCAATGCACTTTCATATCTATGATCTGATTATAATAACATGTTAAAATATATAGGATGGGTATTATTTCTGCTTTGTAGATGAACTGAGGGACCGAAAGCTTAAGTAACTTGAATATATTTACATAGGTTAGTGAGAGGCTAGGATATATTTGGATACAAATTTCTTGACATATCCTGTATTTTTTTCAAAATTACTAAGAAAGAATTCTTTTATATATCTATCTTTAATTACACTTAACTGGAATAAAGGAGAATAGTGGAAATCATATTACTAATCTCATTCTCTAATTTACTACACAGCTTCTTGAACCTTTTAATTCAGTATTTATGAAAGTATTCCATTTTCTAGCATAATATATAATGCTTTGCATTAATTACAAAAAATAAAAATTCAGTATTGATTAGTTTTTCCCAGTATTAACATTATTGAAGTTATAATTAAATCTGAATATGTATGTTACTATGTTGTCAAATAATTCCATCAGTATTCTTATGGCAGTTCAAAAAGGTTTGATTATTTTTAGAGGGGGCACAAAAATATACTTTGAAACATAGTCTCTATGGTCACACAACTATTAAGTTTTTGAGGCAAAGTTTAAACCCAGATATCTCTTCAAAGTCTAGTGTCTTATCCTACATTATTCTACCTTTCAGAAAACATTCTTTCCTTTTCATTTTTTCCCACTGAATAATTTTCCAAAATCTTCCAAATTTTCTTTAATTTTCTTGATCAGAACACTTGGAGTAATTTAGTGCCTCTTTATAAAAGTAAATTTTTGATCATTAATTGAATAGGTTATACTTGCTTTCCTGTCATGCAGGCTTGAAAAAGTAGGACACTGGGAGGATAGACATAAAAATGAACATTCTACCTTTATTTATTCTTCTACTTTCTACAAGCTGAATTTTTAAGTGCTTTTGATACTCTTGCTATTAGCGATTACTGTCTTGGAAATTAAATCCTACTGTTCTGGGAAAGAAAAACTTAGACAGTAGCTTCCAATTTGTATTTGTACTAATGCTGTCTTTCACTGACACAGACTGTCAAAATTTTGAGTTTTTTGTGCTGTTATATATATGGAAACACTGATTTTATTTTCTTCTTTTAATTTTAAGTTACGTAGAAGCCATACTGCATCTTATCTGTGCTTATCAGAATAACAAGGAGCTCTTGTCTAAGGGCCCATACCGAGGACATGATGAAGAATTGATATCACATTACAGAAGAGAATGTTTACTAGTAAGTGGAATCCATGCAGTTGTTTGCTCATTTCATTTTGGACTTAACCTGTTAATGACAACATTTGAAGAAATACATGGAGAATTTGAACAGAGATAGAAGGACTGAATTTAAGCCTGAAACAAAACCCTGTTAAAGGGTTCTATCTTGCCCAGATCCCTTTAAAAATCCTGGTTCATTTGCCCTGACACATCTCCCTTCCTTCTGTGGATCTCTAATCCCATTAGGTGTGGGGGGGGGAAGAAAAACAACTTTTGTAATGGAGCAGACTGTAATTTATGTGACAATTTTTAATTCTTAGTTTTTTTTTTGCAATTGTACTTTTTCCGTAATGCTATTACAACCCCAAAAGACATAAGAATATTATTGTTTTTGCATTGTGCTGATCTGATTATTAACTGGCATATTTAAAACATTGTCATTAACTGTCATTATTATAATTATTGTTATGTCTGAAGATGCTTTGTAATTCAATACCTTTTTGTAAGAGATTGTGATTGCTTTTCCAATATTTTCAATGTCCATGTGTCCAGAATAGTGTCCACAGATATTTTCATCTTTTTTTTTGTTTGTTTACTCCAATTAATTATAGTTATTTGGAGTATCATCCATTGGAAAATGTGAGTGACATTAGTCTCAGCTAAACTTACAGTGTCAAATGAGGAATTCCATTTTCATTCTATTTTCTCATTAAATGTCATTCCCAATCTGCCATAACTTTGTTATGAACTCTTAAAATGAGTTTATTTTTCATACAGCAAACTACTCAATTCTGTTTCCAAATATATATAGTTCACTTATTTTAGCTATTATAAGCATATTTTTAAGAATGTGTGTCAGTGAAATTGATAGTCAAATCTCAGTTCTGAGTCATATTAGACCAGTCACATCAAACCCAAATAGAAACTGGTTAGAAAAGCCTAAATTAACATTACCTATGTTATATTGTATTTTATTTATTTTGTTAAACATTTCCAAATTACATAGTTTTTAATTTTTTTGTTCTTTTTGAACTTAAATACAAACAAAAAAAAGAACATTTCCACGTACATAGCACAGCATAAAGACAGAATTCAGTATAAAACCATGAGTTTCCATTTCAGATTTACTTAAAAAAAAAAAAACTAATAAATACTGCACATTGTTTTCAAAGCTACCCTGGTTTGTTTTTTTGTTTTTTGTTTTTGTTTTTGTTTTTGCTTTCTTCTAAATGTTCTTTTGTTCTCTGCTGTGCATTTTTTTCTCCCTCCCCACCCCATCCTACAGGAGGCTACAGTTAAACACAATTATACCCAATTGTATTTTAGTCTGGTTCACACTAATGAATTTTTGGTCTGTGAGTTTGACACTTCTGCATTAGACTATAATTCTCTATTTGAAAATTCAGTTAAAAATCAAATGGGGACATAAGTTTTTAATATTGCTACTTATCTTGAAACCTTTTTCCTTAAATTAATTTGCATATTAGTATTTGTATCCATTTTAAAACTTCAGTCATGTTCTTTTAAGGTTATTAAATTCAATAATCTTAACACATTTCAAAATAATTTTATATTTTAGGTCTTTCATTTCACTGAAGACTTCAACTGTACTTTTCTGACTTTATTAAGGTTTAAAAAGATAAAATGTGATAAATTATTTTTTAAAGCATTTGCATATGGCTTGACATCTGGTCTATGTAATATTTAAATAGAGGTATTCAGGCTTTAGGATTGTGCAAGTGCTGTGTTGAAAATGATAATAAACTTAAATGAAATTGATTCTTGACAACTAGTTTTTCAAAAAGCAGATAAGTAGTAACTTATTTATGAAATTATTCCCTTTTAAATGTTAGTATGTAGATTCAAGTATAACCTCCCCAGTAGTTATGAGGAAGAAATCTTACTTTAACTCAAAAATAATTTCCTGATGTAATTATTTACTTGGATAAAAGAGATGCTATATTAATGTTAAAATGATAACCACTCTAGAATAAAAATGCTTTTTAAGATTTAAGTAGCTTAACTTTACACAAAAAACGTTGTGTGATGGATATTTTTAAAACAATATAAGTAAAGAATTATAGTTTACAACTTTTTAATCCATTGCAATAATTTGCAACAGTAATAAATATATATTTGAATTCCTAAAGGACAAAGACTGAGTTCTACAGAAATTTTCTTTGTGAATCGCCAGGGAAAGTGTCTTTTGATGATGTTTTTTCTTGAAGTTATGTATAGCTTGCCACAATTTCCTTTCTTACTGAATTTTTTGTTGATGTATTCCTTACCACATTTTAAATTATAGGGTAATTAAAGTAAGAGAAATATTTTTCCACCTTAGCATAAATGAAAAAATACTTAAAATGATGCTTAAAAAACTTATTTTCTGTTTAAAAAAAATCAAGTGAATACCTTCCAGTGATAAAATGTATTGTGGTTGCCATGTTTAAGCATCTATGTGACCACCTTTAATCATGAGTATATGGATTACATGATTTAGGTTGTATTCAGTACCAAGATAATACAGTAAATTTAGTAAGAAAAAATTTGTTCTTTTATATTTCATAAAGAAATTAAATGAGCATGCAGCAGAACTATTTGAATCTGGAGATGATCAAGAAGTAAACAGTGGATTGATTATTATGAATGAGTTTATTGTCCCAAGTTTGCCATTGTTACTGGTGGATGAGATGGAAGAGAAAGATATAGTTGCTGTAGAAGATATGAGAAATCGCTGGTGTTCATATCTTGGACAAGAAATGGAACGTAAGTGCAAATCTCTTAAGGACACCATCATCCTTCCAATACCCAAACTCACAGCCCTTGGACTCATCCTTGATTCTTTCCTCTCACTCACTCTTTCTACATATCCAACAGTTGCCAAATCTTGTCTACTCTGCTTCTACATGTCTTGCATTGATCTTCTCTTCATTCCCTTGGCTACCATCGTAATTCAAGTTTTCATTGTATGTTTGATCTAAACTTACGTGACCTAGACTATTGGAATAGTCTATTAATGCATCTCCTTGTTTCCAATCCATCCTATCTAGAGTTGCCAAATTAATGTTAAAGTAACATTAATAAAACTTAAAGTTTTTTATTTTATCTTTAATTTATGGAATAAAACAACATTTCCATAACATGGTATAATAATTTTTAAAAAGATGGTTGCACCTGAAACTGCAGGTCTATTATGTACAATTTACTATTCCTTTTAAATATATAATAAAGTTATCATGTAAATTTCTTTTTTTCTTCCCTCTCAACCATCCTAGAGATGGCTACCATTAGACACAAATATGTATACATATGTAAAATCATTCTATACATACTTCCATACATATGAGTTCTTTCTCTAGATGTAGATAGCATCTTTCTTCATACGTCCTTTGTAGTTAATTTGGGTATTTATAATAGTTAAAATGACTTATTCGAACAAAATAATTCATAAAACAATATTTATGTTACTGTGTACAATGTTCTCTTGGTTCCACTTATTTCACTCTTCATTATTTCATGCAAGTCTGTCTGTGTTTAAGATCATCAAGATCATCATTTCTTATATTACATCACAATCATGTACCTCCAAATTAATATTTTCAAAACATAGGTCTGACTAAATCATTTTTCTCTTCAAAAGTAGTCAGTGATTGTCTTTTTACCTGATATAAAATATGAACTCCTTAGCCCCACCTTTAAAAAGCTGGCTTCTATCTCCTTCTCCAGCCTGTCTTTATAAGCTCACCCTTTGCATATTCTGTGCTGTATCCAAACTACCTTTGTAACTATTCCCTGAATTTGACCAAATTCCATCATAGGTTTTCTCTCCCCCCCCCCCCCAAAATATGCTCCCTGCTCACCTCTCAGAATCTCTAGGTTCATTCAAAGAGCAGCTCATGGACAGTCTCCTGGTTGTAGGGTTTCCTGATATCTCCAGTCATTAATACTTCTCCCCCTTAAAATTATCTTGTTTCTTTTTGTCTAACTCTTAATGAGGTTAGCAACAGTTGAATTTTTCATCAAGTGTTATTTGTTCATATTTCTAGACTTTTATTTAACTTGGTAATTAATACCTTTGAATTTAAGTCTACTTTTATTTCAGTCATGAACATAGAACTGTTAATTCTTATAGAAAACATTAAATTTTTAAAATAATGACTTTTGAAGTTTAATGTTAACTTACTTAATTTGAGATAGAAATTGATGTTTAAAATACTCATTTAATGAGCTGCTTCTCCCAGCATGGTTAGAATTTTTTTTTTTCATTTGCAGCCAACCTCCAAGAAAAGCTGACTGACTTCCTGCCAAAATTGCTTGATTGTTCTACAGAGATCAAAGGTTTCAATGAGCTGCCAAAATTACCTTCATATTCCACACATGAACTGTGTGAACGATTTGCCCGAATCATGTTGTCCCTCAGTCGAACTCCAGCTGATGGAAGATAAACTATACAAACTTTCTTAAGCACATTGTATAAACTTTTTAGTTCTTAACCTTTGCCTTCCTGTCACAAGGTTTGCTTGTTGCTGCTATAGTTTTTAACTTTTTTATTTTAATAATTGCAAAAAACAAAATGACTGTACAGACTTTAGCCAGACTGCAAACAATAAAGCTGAGAATCGCATGGCGCTCAGTCTTTGTTTTAACCAGAACTGAAGCATCATTACAAGTCTGATTTACCATGGCAAAAATGCCCTTTTGCCACCTGTTTTCAGTATTATTTTGCTTTTATCTTAAGATCCTTTACTTTATCCACAGCTTTCTATTCAGTCTGGATCTTTCTGTGACTGCAACCATTTTAAGTGTCTAGTGCTATGTAAAATACATAGTACTTGGTAGCTTGTAAATGAAATTAAAGAATAAAGTTTTATTTATGGCTACTTAAGTGTTTGTAAGGAGGTATATTGTATATTAGAATATATTTGCATAGATGTATTTTTAGAAATATTGAGTTGAGTTTTGGGTGGGGATCAGCAAGACTTGTGGATAAACATTAATAATAATGTTATAACATGTTGTTACAATGTCAGCTTATTGGGAATGTATTTCAAGTATCTGACACCAAAAATGTTTGTATATTTCTGTCAAAATTGTTTAACTTAGAATGGCATCTGAACTTGTTTTCATCCCAGATCAGGTTATCATCAAAATTAGCAGCTGATTTCTTAAGTCAAACTTCAATGTACCTTTTAGTCTGACATAGATTACTTTATTTTTATATTTTAAAAAAAACTATTTTACAACCTAGATAAAAGAAAATATTTGAAAAGAAAAATAAGAATACTTGAATAAGGGCTATTTAAATGTGGAACTTGTAAAAATTATACACACATATTTTTAAATCATTTATGAGAAGATATGTTTTACTCTATACAGTTCATATTTTACTTTTGTAAATTGTTCACCACATTAACCAAGAATGTTCTCTACTAATCAGTGCTGTGAAATCAGTTGATATTACTGTTATAATATAAGATCACAAATCACTGTGCTCTCATTTACTTTCTCTGAAAGAAATCTGTAGAATTTACTTTGTAGATGGAAATATTTAAATTTAACAAAGAAACATTTTGTGGTGGAATTCAGTGATTCAAAAGGTAAACCTGTTATCAAATCCCATTTTTGATTCATAAATAATTCCTTTATATATAATTCATTATTAGTATAGTAAAATATATAAGTATACTATGTGTGTGTTTATCATAGTGATGTCAAAACTAGTGCCTTTTTAGTACCAGTTTTAGCAGGAGGAAAAAGATGTATATTAAGCCATTAAACCCTATTTTTTGGCAAAGTTAATGATCTAGTATTAGACCTCTACATCAAAGGGCATTATGTTTACTGTAAAAATTAGATTGTTAGTGTTTATGTTTTGATTTGGTTTTTAAATCTTTTATTGAGTTGGATTTCTATTTTTACATTAGGTTCCAGGGCCTATTGGGGCAGCTAGTTGGCTCAGTGGATAGAGCACCAGGTCAGGAGTCAGGAAGACATGTCTTCCTGAGTTCAAATGTGACCTCAGACACTTGTTCAAATCTGACCTCAGACACTTCCTGGCTCTGTGACCCTGGACAAGTCACTAATATGGTTTGCCTCAGTTTCCTCATCTGTAAAATGAACTGAAGAGGGAAATGGCAAACCACTCCAATATCTTTGCCAAGAAAACTCCAAATGGGGTCACAAAGAGTTAAACATGACTGGAAACAACTGAACAACAACAGGGCCTATCACAAGTTGATGTTCCATGCATGATAATAACAACAAATATACTAACTAGCATTTATAGTACATTTTAAGGTTTGCAGAGCACTTTACACCTATCTTATTTTATCCATACAATAACCCTGGGAAATAGATGCTATTATTATCCTCATTTTGCAGATGAGGAAATGGAGGTAGATAGAGATTAAGCAACTTTCCTAGAGGCACACGGCTAGGAAGTATCCGGATAAATAGCAGGATTTGAACTCAGGTCTTCCTGGCTCCAAGTCCATCATGGTATCCATTGGGGACCACCTTGCTGCACATACACAAATATGTATCAATAATAAAGACTTTTTAAAAAATATCTATAATGTTCAATGAATTCTGATATGATAGTTAAATGGTGGTGTACCATGTCTGTATTGGTAATTTTGTGGAAATTGTTAATGAGGGGAAAACAAACAAATAAACATGAGTGCTGGAGAGTCCAATGTGGGAATTACTACCTTGAAAGGTCCATTTAGGAAGGAATCCATTTTGCATCTATTTATAGTTCTTAACCATTCCTCCTCTGTGTTGCCAGTAAGCATTATTACTGAGATATACTTTGAATTTAAAGACCACTTAGTCCCAAATTATACAATTCAGTTCTTTGTATGGAGCTGGTGTACTTGTTTAACTGTGAGAAGAAATATTTAAGAGAAGATGATGCTCTAATTGTTTCATTTAGTGCTATCCTATATAGGCACATACGAATACAGAGAACTTTCTCAGATTCCAAAATAATCTCATTTTGTGGCTACTAGGTTTCTCATGTCTTTAAAATGACCTATTGTTGAGTGACTCTGATATATCTCATATTACAAATCATTATGGAAAACATCTTTTCAATGAAATCTAGTTTTAACATTTGATTTTTGGAACAAAACTATTTTAGGTCCCAGCTGCTAGTTTGTACAGGTTTATAGCATTAGCTTCTCTACTAATGGGGCTAAAATGAATTCTCACTCCCTTCCAAAAAAATACGTAATAATAGCTGACCCCTACATAGTCCTTTAAAGTTTACAAAGTTATATTCACGAGGTCAGGCATATCTTTTTAATATTTATGTATATTAACTAATTTTATAATGTAGGGAGGAGGAGACTATATAAATACTCTTGTTCCAGGAGGAGCTAGATAATTTGGAGGTTGAAGATTAGGAATTAAGGCCAAACAAAACTAGACTTTTAATCCAAATTGTTTTTTAGATGCAATATCGGTTCAACTACTATTAATGGTGTGCATAGAGAAGCCAGTATCCCCATTTTAACTTTCTTTCTCATTGTTTGAAATACTGATACTTTTCCCATCAAAACTGATGCTTCCCTGTGCTGTTTTCTCCTGAAAATGCCTTTCACATCTGACAACTGCTCATATTCATCACTCTCCCCTTTTATAACTCTCCATATCTGAAGCCATACTTCTTTACTAGCCTGTATAATTTAAGTTATCCACCTTGAGTACCTCTCAGCACCCCTCTTCATCCTAATAGCCACGTTTCCATCTATTTGCTTTTATCATTAAACCCCTTTGAGACCCTGGTATCCTCTTCTAAATTTCACAGAGAACTGGGACGCTGATGATGATGATGATGATGATGATGATTGCTAACATTTATGTAGCACTTACTATGTGTCAGGCACTGTCCTAAGCTAGCTATATAAATGTTATCTCATTTGATTCTCACAACAACCCTGGGAGAAAGGTACTATTATTATCTTTGTTTTACAGATGAGGAAACTGAGGCAAATAGAGGTTAAGTGATTTGCCCAGGATTGCACAGCTAGTAAATGTCTGAGGCTGAATTTGAACTCAGGGCTTCCTGACTCTGAGCCTGACACTCTATTGACTGTACCAACTAAATGCCCCTGGTGGCTCCATCACAACCACCATCAGTACTTCCATTCCATGAGGAAAGAGTCTATTAATAAATTAAAGGAAACAAAATGAGAAAAGGAAGTATTATGATAATGGATGATGTTAAAAAGCCCTGTCTCTGCTGCTTTATAAACTTCTGACACTCCCATCTTTCTTACCCTAAATATTCAATCATCTACCAAGTACTCTATTATCTGCACCCTCCTTTCTTATTCCTCCACTACATCCTTTGTTCAGTCCATCATTTCTCACTAAACTTCCTAAACCAGGACCGTTCCTCTAATTTCTTCTAATCACTTACCAAAAATAATTTTCCTAAAGCAGAAATTACCACCATTCAGTTTAAATACTTTTAAGTGGCTTCTACTGCCTAAAGAACATAAGTCCATACATCTTACCTTAACACTCAAGGATCTAATATGATCGGTACCTAGCTTACGTTACCAGTTCCTCTTCATTTCTTGTATTTTAAGCCCAATTGGACTATAGGAGACAATGTGGTAAAGCCTGCTAAATTTGGATTTGAGGACCTGGCTTTGATTTTCATCTCTGCTAGTTATTCCATGTGACCTTGGGAAAGTCACTCATCTGGTGACCGACTTCCTCATCTATAAAAAAAATTAAGTGGATTGGACCAGTTGATGTCTTTTATCTCTTTCAGCTCCAAACATGATAATTCAATGACTTACCTTTTCTCAAACCTACTGTGCAGTTTCCCACCTCCACTAATTTGTTTACCCTATTTCTCCTAACCTTCATAATACCCTTTGTTATCTGTCTCCACATGTCCAAATTTTACTGTCACTTAATACTCAGTCACTCTCCTCTGCTCCTGTAACATTTTGTAAATCTTACAGCAGTTACAATCAATTTTATAGTATTTTTGGTTCATGAATCTTATATTAAAGGCACTTCAATAGTATAGTAAAATGTAAATATAACATATATATATGTAAAGATGACATCAGAATTATTGCCTCAGTTTTGGTATTATACCACAGATAGAGTATATATTTGGCATATTGTTATTAATTCAAGGGGCATATGTGGGTGAGTGACCTTTTTATGTTGACATTGGATGACCACATTTTTGTCTTTTCTAGTAAATGGTGTCATTATCCTGGATGTGGGAAATTGTTTACATTATGAAACAGGGAAGAAATTGCCAGTAAATTCTCTTTCCCAAAAATAGAGTTCTTTAAGGGATCTTCATTTTTTTTCTCAAACAAAATAATTTTAGTCTTTGAATTAAGTACTTCCAATACTATTTTTATTAGACAATGTAAGCCTAACTTTGCTAATAATTTTATGTGAAACTAACTGAATTCTCCTTTTGTATCCTTTGAGTTCATTAATCCATCAAACTAGAATAAAGGAAATCCAAAAATATTTCCAGAAACATCTTTCCTGCTATATTATGGACAAGTTTCTTAAAAGATAATAGTATAAGAAGAGATTTGTGCTTAGGTACAGTAGACTGGAACTTAAGAACCACTTTATGGCCATCCTTTTCAGCCATCCACATTTTAAACTGTAGAAGAACACAATTTTGGTGTTCAGTTTTTATTTTTGTTTTTTCTTATTATAAAAATCATTAATCCTTGTCCTTTGTGGTGGTTCAGGCTCAGGATGGAAACAAAATGAGGTACTTGTAACCCATCTTAAAATTTAACAAAAACAAGTGTATTGAACAATAATTAGGCTGCTCACCAGGGGTACAGTACTGGTTCAGATTGAGATACTTCCCTTCTCATATAAAGAAATGTATTGGGTCAGATTTATATGTTGATTCTTCTGAGAGTGGGACATCTGTCAAGTCTGAGGGACCCACTTCTTTATGGGATAGGCTTCAAGTACATTAGGCAATCATGAGGTTGTGTCAAGAGTTCCAGTCTTAGACTCCTCAACCTTATTGAGGATGATTTGGGTGAGGATTATAATGAAAATTTGGGAGGGGAAAGTCTTTTTGTGGAACTAGTATGCAAAAGAACAGTGTATATACTTTAAGTTTTTGTTGATGCCTTATTTTTTATATCTACATGATTTCCCCAATATTCCCTCCCAAAAAGCCATCCCTTAAAACAAATCATATTCTTTAAAGACAAAAAAAGAAAAGAATAGGAAAAAAATCACAAGAGATTAATGCATTGAAAAAGTTCCCAAAAAAACATATGCATTGTACCACACCTGTTAACCTCCCACCTTCACAAAGGGATGGGTCAGGGGTGTCTTCTCCTATCTGTTATTTTGAGGCTTGCTTGATCTTTGTACTTTTGTAATATTTACTTATGATTTTGCATTTGTGTGGATATGCTTTCTATTTACATTGTTGTAGTCATATGTATTATTTTCTTGGCTGTTTATTTCACTCTGTGTAGGTGATGTGGATCTTTCCAAAAATGTTTCTCTGTATTCATCACACATATCATTTCTCAGAGCCTGGTAATATATTCCATTATATTCACGTACCACACTTTATTTAGCTATTACTCAAACTGTAAGCATTTACTATCACTAAAAAGTGCTTGTATAAATATTTTTATGTATCTGGGAACTTTTTATCAGTGGCTTACTTGAGGCATAAACCCTATAATCCGATCAAACCTAATTAAAAAGAAAGTAGAAAATCAATAAAATAGCAAACGAGCAAAGTGAAATCACCAAAAAATTTTTAAAAAATACTAAAAGAAATATGAACCTATTATGCAGGGTTGTTAAAGGATACGCATACTTAATACTAAAGATTTTACTATGAGAAAATTAGAAGCAGGTCACATATCTCTCACAGATGTGGGTAGAAGACACATTCTTAAC